AAACTTTGTTGGGTTTTTATGATGTGAAATGATACTTTGGTTTTGAAATGAAACGAGTTTCAGTTTGCTAGGCATTGTTTTACTGTCAGTCAGTATTTATATATGTGGTGGTTTGCTGGGTTTGTTTGTTTGTTTTCAGACAGTCTTTCTAGAACCAGCGTGCCAGTACCCCTTCTGTGTGTCTCTGGCTTCTTTTATTTCCTGATTTCTTTCTTGTTTTCTCAGTTCAGTTGATCAATGCAGAAGAGGCAGCTTTCCCTTTTTGGAAATGTACAATTAAACTGTGTATGCAGCCATGGAGCTCTGCATGCCACAGTCTGCAGTTTTGACTGCCATGGTTGCAAGATGCACCATGAAAGTTCACGTGGCAAGTAGAGTTACCTGGTAAGCACACAGGACTGCAAGATTTGCACATAATTTATATGATCATAAAAAAGAAACATACATTCTTCTTCAGTATTTGGTAATTACATACCTGAGACTCTCTGATATTTGTTTTTCTACAGGAATTAATGAAGCAGCTGAATGGAATTCAGGTAATTTGTCAAGTTTTCCATGTTTGGGGAGTGTTAATACTGTGATCTCAGAAATTGTTTTAAAATCCTGTTTTGTGTGCTTGTTTCCATACCAAAAAAAGGTGAAACACTGACTCTGGGTTTGCATGCTGAGTATATTATGTATGGTATATATGTGCATTTGAATAAAATCTTTTTTAGTATATTTTGAATACTGCAGAATTAATTTGCTAGGATCAGTGATTTTTCTTTAAACGCTATATGTGCTTTTTGAGTTGTTATGAAATGGCCAGTGATAACACATATATTTGAGTTTAAAAGTGTATCAACCTAAGTGCATACTGCATTCTCAAGAATAACAATTCCTCAAAGTCCATGCTCCATTTCTGTAGAAAAAGCGCATGCTTGACCTTTTAACAGTCCCTCCTTAGAAAAATATCTCTACAATTAATTCCCATGCAATAAATACAATGTGTCTTTGTGTCGTATCATTATTTTTGTCAGATTTTGCTGTATAACTTAGTTGCACCTTCCTACTCATTGCTACCTTTTAAAGCATTGTTTTTTCCTTTAAGAATGCAGAAGCTGTACACTTTTTTTGCAATTACGAAGAGAGCCGAGGGAACTACCTAGTAGATGTAGATGGCAATCGCATGCTGGATCTCTACTCTCAGATTTCATCCATCCCAATAGGTAGGAGACAGTTGTACCAAATTTTTTTGCTTTGTCCTCAAGCTGTTTTTTCCTTTTCTCAGCCACTACCAGAGAAGTTGGTTGATTAACTAAAAAAAACCCAAGCAGACATAATGTATGCAATCGGGGTACGCCTCACTGCTGTGTATTATGTACTGGTGTGTTTGAATAGCTGACAAAACTACAAATGCAATACTTAAGAGCTTGCTAGAGGCACATAGTGGTACCTGGAAGAAGCTCTAGTGTTAATCTGAATTGGAATATGCAAGTTCCACAATTTAGTTTGGTTGGATTTGTGTAGTTTGTGATTCTGTAACAGTATGTTACTGTTTTAAACATCAACAAACAAACATTTTAATGTTAAATCATGTACTTTAGTTGACATTTCTATCTCAAAAGAATTGAAAAAAGGAGTTCGCTATGTGCACTCCAGATGAAACAAGACAAACACTGAACTGTAGCACTGAGTGAAAGCAAAGGTGGCAGATCAGTCAGGCTGAGGGACCAAACAATGGACTTGTCAAGTGCTTGGGAAGGTCAGTTGATCCTTTTTGTGAAGCATTTCAAGAAGGAAAAGAAGCAAGGCAGAGAGGTAGGCCCCAGCTGCAAGAAATACAAGTTTCAGCAGGTGTTCAGTTCATTTGTTCCTCATTCCAATTGCTTAAAAATACATTTCTGCAGAAGCAAAAAGGGCAGAAGTGCTGGGGTAATTTAAAAGGTGGATGTTGTGCTATGTATAGAAACTGTGATGACTCAAAATCACCCCTGCAGGCCTCCTTTATTGGGAAACAGAATTTAGTGATGTTCAGGTCATCACCAAATTTCTGGCATCTAAGACCTGATGACTGCAATGGGTTTTTCAGTTATCACAGTCTTCTTTGCAGACAGTTAATATTTTTGCTCTCGTGTAGCATCTCAGTAGATGTGTAATCATTCCAGAATTCTTCAATGTTTGTAGCTTATTTTCATCAACACAAGTTCTAGATATTATTAATCTTTCGGAGGCTCTACTGAGATAACTGCCACTGCTGATGTGGAAACAGGGGTGAGACACAGGAGCACAATGCTCATCGAACTTAAAGGGGATTGGATTTAGGTTTCTAGGAAAGGAAGTGCATTCAGTGTTCAAGACCTCCCATTCTTCGCACAAGAAATGCTGATTTGGAGAAACTAGTGCGTGATCCTGTAGTCAAAGGAAAGTCAGTGCATACTCCGTAAGAAAGTAATTCAGGTTGTACAGACAGCGCACTGAGACTTTCTGACCCTCTAGTGCTTGATTGTACAATCATACCTCTCTAAATATAGTTTTTCTGTGTAAAATATTTAAGTATTGGGGGGGAAATAGTTTCTTAATGGGGAGAAATTCTTAAAAAATATGTTCAGCTTTTTATCAGCAGATGAATAACTTCAGTGTTTATGCATCCAAAATGCTATACAGCTTTTTCATACCTCTTTTAGAACAATTGTAAGTTAAAGGAGCTGATGGCTATCCTCGTGGGTTTTTTCACAATTTTTCTCCTGTTGCCTAGATGACAGTTAACATGTACTGCAGCTGTCTGTTAACAGGATCTGTGTTATGACCAGAATCAGAGTAAGATGCTGACTCTTGGACAGCCACCTCTGTTTCATTTGGCCTTTCTCATTTCTTCTCTAGCTCCTGTTGGCTGCCACGCTTCTGCCACAGGTTTGCTGGTTTTTGTAGGTTCAGTGACAGCATCTCCTGTTGGGGTTTGGACATATTTGTGTCACCTTTCTGGGAACCCCTCCACCATTATTTTGGCTCTAATAGCAACCATTAAATGATTTATTTCTGCTAGCTCATTGTAGCTTTCTAATGATGGAAAACATGTGTAAAAGGAGGTTGACTGAATGGATGCCAGCCACAAATATGAACTGTAGCCAAGTCTTTCTAACACTCTTGGTTGGAAAAAGGAATTGAGATTTCATGATCTATTCATTCAAACCAATGCTGCTCAATACATGGGCTCTAACATCCTATCACATATTAAGGCATGGGACAGTGACGAGTTTCAGGCTTTGAAAGGAGTTAAGTAAACAAAGTTCATCTCCTTGAAATAATTTGTCCAGGCTATTTAGCTAGTTGTGTGGATTTATTTTTCTTAAATCCTCTGATTTAACATAGGATTTTGACAGTTCTCTATTAGTTCCCAATGATAACTAACCTTTTATCAAAGCAAATATTCAAAATATAAAATGCGATCTGGAGAGGGAAAGCTACTTGAAATACATTCTGGATGCTGACGGGTAGAAAGGGAGATTCTCAGGAATGCAATACACAGTCTTGTCAGCTGCTGATGTAACTTGTAAGAGAATTTAGTATTGGAGAAAAGATGCTTTATGGTACTTTATGCTGGATGTTGAGCGACTTGCAACCTCTGCTTACAGCATAAGTGCAGCACAGAGAGCAAAACTGCAATTCCTGCTAACTTTGATTCAGCTGTGGATCAGAGAGGGGCTGAATTTGTGCTATCTGCTTACATTCGTTCCCAGACAGCTCTTCACAAGCAACGGACATGTGAATGCAGCTCTTAGCTTGTAATACTGAATTCAGTGAGAGTGAGTTTCAAAAGCATATGAATATACTGCCTTCAAGACAGTTAACGTAACCCTCAGCCATTTAAATTGAACCTGCAATCAATCCCAGTTGGTCTAAGAGATCACTTAATTTCTTGAAACCATCTGTAATAATGCCTGATGTGGTTAAAATTGTCTAAAAACCTCATTTTTCATATCTGTAGCTCTATTAGATGTGCTCGTAATTTCATATGTGACCGTAACTGAACTGAGATCTGTTAACTCTCTTGACATGTATATACCAGTCATGGGATGTAATAGCAGGAGCTTCTGCACTTTCTTTTCTCTGGTTGATTGAAACTGGTGACGTAGATGTAGACTGCAGTACCTATAACTGATCCTCAGATAAGCCATCCAGTTCCTCCTACATGTGTGGCAACGCCTTCTTGAGGATAAACTGGGGTTTTTTGTCCTAGATGACACGTTCCTCAGGCACGAAGGAGCGATAGCACAGTGCTTCACGCAGCTTCTCAGATAATGGCTCTGTCATGTGTAGCAACAAGAAGGAAATTGAAATTTAATACTTACAGGCTGACCTGAATCTAATTGAACACACAGCATTAATTTATTTTTTTAAGTTTTACTGAATGGCAAGACTGACTATCTGAAGCTGCAGAGGTTGCTAATAATGTCCCTCTTGGTGGCAGTTAGGTTCTAGACTGGGATACGAAAACAAAATCGCAAGGTGCTTGCTAGTCATTTGTGCTCATCTTTCTGCAAGTAAATCAAACAAAACCTTTCATGAATCTGTCAGGACTCGGCAAGATTTAATAATGATCTGCTACACCAGAATATATTTATCAGCAGAGGTTGAGAGGTAATAAGTGCCTGTGTGGAGAGATAAGAATTAAAGTATAAAAAACCTCCAGGCAAAGATGTTCTGGGCTGTTTCTTGCTGAAAAACAAAAATTAAAAACATTTTTACTACATAGTTTTTGGGAGGTTGTAGCACAGCATACTCCTTTAAGCCTGTATCTAATCTAATAGCGCTAGAAACCCGGTAGAGCCAAATGCAAGAGGGGATTATATTATAGCTCGATCATATAAAGAATGAGCAAGTGATCCGAGACAG